GCTTCCCTTCTTTGTCCTCCGCCGTCTCCGCCGGGGCCAGGTCTGTGTCTGAAGCCTGGCGGAAGCTGCTGTAGACCAGGGAGTCGGTCTGTGAGAGGTCCCACTCGGGGAGGGAGGTGGTGCAGGCGACGCCCACCTCGGGCGGGCAGAAGGGGTTGGTCCGCTGGGTGGTGCTGCAGCACTGTCGGTCAGGGACCTGGCAGTGCACCAGGGGAATGTGGTGGACAATCAGGGTTTCACCAGTCAGCTTCGGGGGGCTATCCATCATCGGCAAAGCTCTCCACGACCCCTGCTGCTGCTGCTGCTACACCCCAGCTACCCATGGAAGGACCGTGATGGGCAGGAGACACCCCGAAAGCATAGGCAGGAAGGCACTCGGAGACCTGGATGGAGACAAGAAGCAACAGAAGGCGTTACCAGCCTGGAAGGAAACAAAAATGTGTTCAAGCAAATGGTCCAGACTTGGCTGCCACTCCACCCAGAACTCTTGACAGCACAATGGGGAAGGGGTGCAAGAGATTTGGCAGTCAAACAGCACCATGACAAATTCTTGCAATTTTCTGACTTTGTTTTTATACATGTGGCCGAAGAGCATTTATAAACATACTTTGAGAAACCTCTATAACCGGGGTGTCAAGCATGCGGCCCATGGGCCAGATCCGGCCCTCACAGGGCTCATATCTGGTCTTCAAGCAACTGGCTCTTTTCTGCTTCCTTCCTTCTCTCTCCTGCTTCCTTCTGCATCACAGCTTGCTTTGCCAGGCTCTCTCAATTGCAGAAGAGCTACAGAGCAAGGCCTCTTTTCCCTCCATTGGCTGAGGCTCCTCCCCCCCTTCTCCTCCCTTGAGGGGGAGGGAGGAAGAGAGTGAGAGCTTGCTTTGCCAGGCTCTCTCAATCGCACAGCAGAGCTACTGAGCCGTGCCTCTCTTTCCTCCATTAGCTGAGGCTCCTCCCCCTCCTCATTCCCTGGGGGGGGAGTGAAAGAGTGACAGCTCTCTTTGCCCAGTCCCCTCTCCCCACATGTGAGAGATACAAAAGATACAAAGCACCTTTAGGACCAACAAAGTTTTATTCAAGGTATGAGCTTTTTGCCTTTCTACAGAGAGAAAGTGTGTGTGTGTGTTTTGTTGAGCTTGTTATGCCAGGGCTCTCCTGGGTGCAACTGGGTTTTCCTCCTGTTTTTCACTGTACTCATCCCCTCATGATCCAGTCTTTCTCAGTAGGAGAGCAATGTGAACTATAGATGAGGAATAACAACAAGCCCAAGAGGTGAATTAGGCTGAGAGTGTGTGTCCAGACCAAGTTCATCTTGTTTTATAGATTGGGGATTTTGAACTTAGCCTTCCCAGATAGTAGGCTGACACTGACCACCAAACTTTCCTATCTCTCTATTCTTGCACTGCCTCATAGGAGTTGTGGTTATTTCTCTGGGGAAGACTATAGTTTTGTAGACAAACACATAGCCCTCAGTCTGTGTCATGGTGCCTTCACATGTTCTTGACCAGCGCATGAAGTGACTCCTGTACAAAAGCTTGCAATGCCCAGCCATTTCATCCTTTCCCCCGGATCATTTGTACTCAAGCTTTTATGCTCTGCCCTTTTTAATGACAGCTTTTATTGGCATGTTTTATTGACTTTGTTCTTATTGTTTTTACTGCTCTTTGTCTCGTTTTTACTGTTGTTTGTCCTCATAGATTCAGATGGGTAGCCATGTTGGTCTGAAGCAACAGAGCAAAGTTTGAGTCCAGTAGCACCTTTAAGACCAAAAAACTGTAGGTATGAGCTTTCGTGTGCGTGCATCTTGTATCTGAAGAAGTGTGCATGCATAGGAAAACGTATACCCCAAATTGGTCTTTGTTGGTCTTAAAGTTGCCCCTAGACTCAAACTTTGTTCTGTTGCCCTCACAGAGTTCCCCTCTGAGGCAGAAGATGCCTGCAGTCTGTCCTGGAGAATAGATTTAAACACTGGGCTGAAAGGCAAAAGAGCTCTTCCTGTGGGACTCGGCACAGGGTCTTGCGTAAACTGCACTGCAAGTCACACAAGGCACCCATGCAGGCATCGTCTGCACGCCAGAGATCCACAGCCCTTGCAGATCTTGTGCCGAGACGGTAATCAAACCCAGGGAGGTGCTTTTCACAGGCTGCTGCACAGACCCCCAAACCAGTGCCAAACTGCCAGCCCCACATCTCTGGGTCCTGAGCTATGGGGGGGGGGATGACAAATCCAAAGGGACAAACTGAACACTCATGAAGCCACCTGATGCCGAATCAGTCCATGTAACACCAGAATTGCCCACTCAGACGGATAGCAGCTCTCCAGGGCCTCAGAGAGAGAAATGCCTTTCGTCTGACCACCCAGCTTGGCCATTTCAACTTGAGATGCTGCCGGGAACTGTACCAGGGACCTTCTGCAGGCAACACAGATGCTTTGCCACTGAGCTATGGCCCCTTGCTGATATCCAAGCCAGTGTCCCGCTGCACCCTCAAGCCAAGACGCGGCAGGAGCCGATGCTCCGGATGGGGTCCACCCCAGCACAACCCCAAGCTGGGCAGCTGCCACCACGGCCCATGGCTTCTGGCGGGCCCCATGGGATGCGGATCCCCTGGCTACGCCCCTTCTCTGACGCCTGCCTGCGAGCGCATTGTCACCTCTGCTCCCAGCTGCATGTGGTGCCGAGGAAGAGGAAGAAGAAGGAGAAGAAGGAGGAGAAGGAGGAGAAGGAGGAGGAGGAGGAGGAGGAGG